TAAGTTGAGTAGTGTTGTGTCTCGGGAGTATTCAACAACTGAATCATAAACACATTCTCATACACTCTAGGCAACATTTGCAAACTACGTGAATTCAGAGGACCTGTGCTATTTTCGTTATTGTTATGTTTAATAACTTAATTATTCCTAGGTACAGACTGGAACGGGGAAGTTCTTTTCACGTTCAGTTACAGATTTAGGCGAATCGTATGCTAACCTTTCACTAAGATTGTATACAAAGATATGAAAGATTGCCCTTTTTATCCCGGAGCTACTTTAATGGTTGTTACGTATTAAAGTTTATATATTTATGATGATGCCCTATCTCCTGGTCAACAATGTATCTGTAAAACTGAGAAAGCGATTCGAGCAGTTTTGTAATTTTAATAATTTATTAAATTATTTTAATACCGTTCATTATTTAACATAGATTAAGCATAACTTAACAAATATTTTCCATCTGCTAATATTTAAATCATAAAAATATGTATATTACTTGATAGTACAAAAACAAAAAGGTAGTCAATTGTTTTATTTCTACTACACAAAACTACTACACGACTATACAAAATTATTTAAGAAGTGGAGTAATATTTTCCACTCACTTGCATTTTCTTACAACATCTCTAATAAGATATAAACATATCTCTTATGAGTGTATTGGGCTAAAATATATATGATTTAGCTCCCAAAGGCTTATCATAAAATGTGATATTTCCAGGTAAATTACACGCTTATATCAGGTCTATTGTCTGCGTTGTTATTGATTGGAATTGACAGTAGAATCAAGAACACACTACATGTCATAAGGTTTCATATTGATTGACGAAGCTAGGTAGAGTTTGTTGATCTCAGCATCGCTGATTTGAAGTAATGTAATGTAGGGTTCTTATAACAGGACGATTAGGATGGGATCTATACCTTAAATGCTGATGTGAATACTATGTTGCCTGTCGAACTTAAAATTAATGGGATTTACATTCATAAAATAGGCTTAACAGTAACAAGTATCAATCATTGAAATGTATTGAAATTGAGTTGGTTTTCAGTTTACAAAATGGCTGTTCAGCTACGACTGTACGTTTTTTTATAGATTGCTATAAAGTAAAAAAGCCAATGTGTGATAGACACATTTAAATTATACATTTATTTAATACAAGATACATAATAAGCAAATATACAGTATATGTGATAACTATTAATGTTCAAACAATATTTTACTTAATTTTCCAAATTTCTAGAAAAGATTTTTTTTATTTCTATTCCGATTTATTTATTTTTTTTTGTTTAGTTTGCGAACCAAAATTTTAACAGTGCCTGTACTAGTTTAGTATTTGACCTAGTGAATAAATACCTGCAAAATATCTCAAACAACAATGATATAGTATGGTTTCTATTATTTTAAAATACTATGGTAAAAATAATTGATTGGTATGGATTGAATTACGAAAATTATATTTAAAATAGCCTTAATAGTAAAGTAAATATTGAAAACGAGAATAATCACAGTACCTAATGTTCACAGTTCTAGATCTACTTATAAAAGACATAATAATGCATATAAACATTCCTCACTAGGGTCAGTTTTAATATATTTCATAGTATTGGCAAATCTTGGATATATATATTTTTTAATTAATTATATATAAAATATATAACTGTGCAAAATCTGATCACACAATTGTAAATTATTATATTGTAATTATTGTTTTATGATTTTTTTTTTTTTATAAAATGTTTACGGTAACAATTTCAAAACTACTTATGAAGTTTGCCTATGGTGTCATTCTGAAAGAACGGAGCTCAATTACGTTTATGAGAGAATATATTAACATAATGTTATTAAATAATTATGAAATGATTTATTCAAACTGAGATTGGTCCCTTTTAAAACCTATTTATATGTTATTTGTATGGGTATTGTCGGATATGTAGGCTAACATGAATGAAAAATGTAATAACATCATCATGTAATGAAATCCCATCTTAAGACCCATTTCAAGACTCTCTGTTACTTTATTTCTTAAATCTTCCTGAATAATTGATCCTGGACAGGAACATTTGTTCACAGAGGTAATCTAGGAAGGGAAATTGCAGGTTTCGACCAACTGCGCTCATTTCACATGCAACAGTGATTCTATACTGCATCTGTATTTTCTGTAAGTACACAAACTTACCTAAGAAACTAGTTATTTCTTTATTTTCATAACCCATGCGAAAAGGTTAACTCTTATATTTAAACGCGTGATAGTTTGTTGGTTTAAACAAATTATGGTTAAAATTTGTAAAATATAACGAATACACGATTATAAAAATAAGCAAGAGGCCAAAGGAAATGCAATCATACAGCGAGTATAAAAATGACTTTGTCTTAGCTAATATTTAGGATGGTTAATTGGAGTATTGTTTAATTCAAACCGTCCAACAGTTTAATTTAAATATGTCCAACATTATTCGTCCTTTGGGAAGCTTATGGGTTCAAAAAAGCTGAATCTTTGAAAAGACACAAATTTTGCCAAAAAGTGGCACCATATTTTTTGGTATTTAAAAATTTGTTTTTATTTTTAATGGTATTCTGTATGGCAGAGACATAAATGACATACAGAATACATACAGAACTTATATACTGTATATGGAAACAGAAAATAAATGTAAATGGACCTAATGGTAACCAGATCATTAGTCTATTATCAGGTATGTAGTTGTTTTGTCACGATTAAATGTAGGCATTTTTTTATAAGAAATGTATATCTAGTCTATTTTAAAATACGTTTATTATCCTCTATAGTACTTTGAATGTGTTTCATTTGCGCAGCGCATGCCATTCTCATTCATCTTACAATCTCCTAATTTGTCTTGATTATATTTTAATTTTTACCTATTCCTGTTTTTTCTTATTCTTAATCATTTTATAGATGTTTTACCGTTATCTAATCAAGTTGACGTTTCAAGCCATAGCAACCACTGCCATAACACTGTTACTAATCTAATCAATATTGTTATTCGAGGTATTCGATGGAAATAAGTTACGGCTTAAGACTTTGACCTACCGGGATTCATGGTTTATTGTCAAACAGTATTTGCAAGACCTAGTTTGTATCGGTTCTGAACCTAAATTATATTCAAATACTTTTGAGCCTCTTTAAATAACAATTTAACAAAGCTTCTATAAACGCGTGCCCATTTAATCTCATTTATTTGTCACATGTATTAAGTTTTACATCCATTACTCTTTCATTAAATAACATATTTTCTATAAAATAATCAAGAGAACACCTGTAATCCGTTGAACAAAGTTTGCCCTCAGCGTCGCAAAGTTCAAGAGGAAAACACATAATATCCATTGTTGCTCTTTGATGTAAGGGCTTGTTTTAAGTTATATCAAATGTATTGGTTAGTATTATATTGTGGTTTATTTTATTATTACAATTTTGGTAAGATTAAAATAAACTGAATTATGTCAAACAAGTGAAGTTGAACGGAATTTTGACGTATAGTATGTGAAAATATTAACTAGTAATACATAGATTATTATTATTATTTTCGGTAACAAGTAATGCATTTACAAATAAAAAATGTATATTGTTCTTTTGTAGGTTATAAATATTCTTAATTATTGATGTTATTAATGTATGAAATGATTATAATAAAACAATCTATAATAATCCATATATAAAATAATATTTCTTACACATATGGTGTATTATAAATAATCTTATCTTACTAATATTATAAATGTGAAAGTTTGTGTGTTTGTTTGTTTGTTTGTTTGTTTGTTTGTTTGTTTGAAGTTCAATCACGCATTAACTACTGGACGGTTTGGGCTGAAATTTGGCATGATGATAGCTCACATTCCCGATTAACATATAGGCATATTCTTATCTCAAAAATCCTTTCGGGCTCCGCCCCAATGGCTCTGTAGTTCCCCATGTTAACCTTATGAGTATTCACATTTAAAGGGAATTAAAGTATTTAGTCAGCTGTTTCAACTGAAAAAGTTGGTTCTATGATAAACAAAAGCATTAACAAGTTATAAGATTTACCAACAGGTTGCAGCACTATTATTTTTTTTGCATTTATGAAAACAGCTAATTTGAACTAAGCAGCAGCAAAAAACTGTGATAAGCAATGAGAACTGTCAAAGTAGGATTGTTTACAGTTATATTTATTTTTTATTTCATGAATAATTTGTGATATTTAGCAAATTTTTTTATAATTTGTTTTTATCTATTGTTTAGGTGAAGTGGCAGAACATTAGGACTATTGTAGATGTGCCATACTATAGTATACTGTAAATTTAAAGAAACAAATGTATCAAACTGTGTCCTCCCCCATTGCAAACGCAAAGCTTGAATATAACTGGAATAATCATTTTATACTTATATGCCAACCCCGTACGAAGGACGGGTATGACTGCTAGTCCTAAATAATTCCGAATTATTTAAAACTCGGGCGTTAAATATCTTTTCTGTCGTTATCTTTTTATTATTTTAATGCAATTTTTTTCTTCTTCAAAACATATAAAATATTATATTATACTGTTGAAATTTGCAAAATTGTTAATTTTAATTGGTACAACATCTATCGGTACAAAGTGTTTTAAATGCATTTTTTAAAATGCAAAATAATAGTTCAAAACTGTACATTTACTCTAGTTCGTTCATCATGGCTCTTTAAAATACATAGTGCTTTAAAAAAGAAGAAATAAACAATATTACGGTAAGTTAAAATAACAAGAAAACCACTTGTACATAAATTGAAACTTATATACATATTTTATTGCAAAGTCCCACTCAATCAAACAGTTACCCCCTTTTATTCCCCATAAGTAACCCGATGTTTTAATTTAGTCAATAATACTTCCATCTTAAAATGAAATCATTTCTTTATAGGCTAAAAATAAATTAATGTCCTCATTTACACTTGTTGACAAGCGTAATCTTAAGCACAATTGTTGTAACGCAAGTATAAACATAACTATACAATCACTATAAACTCACCTTTATATGTTGATATATTCCAAAAATATAAACGAATCACTTCTCTTAGGCACTTCACAAAACTTTCACAATTTAAAAAATTGTACAAAACTCCGGGAAATCACCAGAACTTCCCGCACGGACGGCACTTCTCACGCCGCACCCCTTGGAGTCCGGTCATGGGGTATCCGATCAAACTGTCGGTATCCATGTTGAGGCAATCGATCGACGGAGTTGCTCGGAGTGGCGGTGAGTCGGTAGACAGCGTGGCGCACACTGGCACATTGTATTACGTGTCCACTATTGAACAGGTTGGTGAGTTGGTCCAAAGAACGAGTCCACGCAGGGAGTCGAATCTTTGGAAATAAATCTTTCAAATGTAAGCAGCTGTGATTAATTTGTGTTTTAACTAAACAAGTGGAATTATTTTTTGTGAAGTTTGTGTTGTTAAATATTTTGTAAAGTAACTTAATGAAATTTTGTATCTTAAGAAAAAATGTTTAACGTTTACATAAACAATATAAAAGGAGCAAATTATATATTTTTTAGTCTACCATAGCGCAGTGAAAATTATTAAACATTTTAATTGGGTTATTCCGGGAAAATAAATAGATGGATTATTTCGGTTATTTGGCAAATAACCAGTAATTTGGGCTGATGAAGCAAGAAACGTAACATTCTCTTAAACTTGAGATGCATACTTGTAATCAGACGACAAAATAGTTTGTTTGTAAATCAATACAAGTAGTTTTGGTAGATAAAATTTTTTTTGTGCAATAAAATAATAATAGTCTAATTTCTTAATAATTAATTCAATTTTTTTTATTCAACTACATGAATCAAATAAAAAACAAAAACTAAATATACACCTAATTTCCGTCATGATTCGACTTGAATTCGTTTTTAATTCGCTTTTATGATCATGAGGAACGGTTCTCAAGGTGACCTAATCCTTTAACCAACTCTTCGATCTGCTCACCACCCTCTCCCAACTCAACCCTCTCACATGTCGATATACGAGACAACACTCACACCGTCCCCGTAACAATGCCATATCGAACGTCATAATTACTCGTTTGTTTTATGGATGACGACCTTTCAGAACTTTTCTATAGACCATTGTCTTTCCGTTCACTACTGTCTTTGTATCCATCTTTGTTTTCGTTTCATAGAGGATCTACCTCCTTTGAAAATGTAAGGTAGGGGGGGGAACGGTATTTAAACCTAAAACAAAAAACAAAAAACGACAAGAGTTTTCTTTTTCTCTATCAAAATTACATGAGTATTGAAATGTACAGGTTTTTTTTAATTTTTCCCGTTAACTTTTATTGTACAACAACGCTTTAATATAAAATAATTACTTGTTTTTCTAGCTCTACACGAGGGTCTTAATGATTGCATGTTTGGAAAAATTTTTAGTCCGTAAACATCCTGATTTAGAATAAAAGTTCTAATGTGCACTAATTACCTATACTCTGGTCACCGTAGTTGCATATGTACCCATATGATAACGTGATTGACTTCTTCATGAGGCAACACATTTCAAAGATTTTAACATCACACTATCTATGCAATGGAGAGGATACGTGTCCTTTAATCAGTGCAAACCATAGCACAAACCATGGCACAAACCATGGCTCAAACCATGGCACAAATCATGGCACAAATCATGGCACAAACCGTGGCACAAACCATGGCACAAACCATGGCACAAACCATGGCACAAATCATGGCACAAATCATGGCACAAACCATGGCACAAATCATGGCACAAACCATGGCACAAACCATGGCACAACCCATGGCACAAATCATGGCACAAACCATGGCACAAACCATGGCACAAACCATGGCACAAACCATGACACAAATCATGGCAAAAATCATGACACAAACAATGGCACAAACCATGGCACAAACCATGGCACAAAACTTTGACACAAACCATGGCACAAACCATGGCACAAACCTAGTCTGTCAAGCAGATATCTTATCCTGGATAGCTCTGTTGGATAACGTCTTATCCCTAAATGTGGAGCGTCGTAAGCGTTTTAGTGGTAATCAATGAGCACTTATCCAACGAACGCATATTCGGGAAACGGATTTCAACCAATCTTCTCGTTAAGTATTTAGGAAGTGACTTGATCTATTCTTGCGGCCAAAGTATAGGATTATTAAAAAAAATCCAAACAATATAATCTAAAAAGTATTAGCCTGGATTCCACTCAAGCAAAAAGGTTTTCAATTAACGGTTTTAACAAAAGAGGGTTTTTTATTTAATTTGAGAAATTTAATTTTTTAATGTAATAAAATATAATACATAAAATTATTTTTCAAAAAAATCTTTTTAAAAGTAAAATTGCATTACCGATGTTTAACTCGATCACGAATTTCAAAGTCAAAATCCTTTATTAGGCCAGATTGACAAATATTTTGCATTGGCCAAGTCTTAACTAATAAAATTACATTTATTATGAAATGAAATAATGAAATATACAGTTCCAGACGACACGAAGTTAACAAGCTTGGACTTTTTAAATTGGCCATAACAATTAAGTATAATTATATGGATTCAATTCCACAAAAACTATAAGATCTTTTTTTTTAAGTTGTCATTTTTTGTGTTTGTTAATCAACGTTTACTCAACACTGGTGAAGCACATCTTATGGAAACTGAAGACAAAAATAATGTTTTGTAGCAAAATGTGATAATTATATTTATCATATGGCACGGTCATTCTATGAAGGAAGCAATGAAATACTACATTTCTTAAAGATACAAAACGATTTACAGCATATTTCAAAATTCACAATTGAACCTACGTATATCTAGCTAGATAACAGATAACAATGCTCCTAATCTAAGCCAAGCAAAGATCAACTGGGTAGCCATTGTTGTCAGAGACTGACTAAGTTTGTGTGGTTGTGGTTAGAGGGAGGGAGGGGGAATTATTGTGGTATATGGAGCGGAAGAAGGCGTCCTAACACTCCTCTATCTACAACCCCTTGCAATCTGTCCTTAATTCTACTTCCTGAAATTAGGAGTCATATGTTCTGACGGCATTTTTTTCCTTAATTTAATTAGGAGGTTTCAAATATCAAGTTCAATGGGTAATTTGGGGAAACCACGCATATCTGAAGGAGGTGTAATTTTAATCATGATTATATTAATAAATATAACCTAATAATTTACTAAACATCTTAAACCACCTTAAATAATTGGTTTTATTTTAAACATAGAAATTCTATTATTGCCACACAAAATGTTTTGTACACTCGTAGACCAACTATTGCATAATGCTCTTGCATGTCTGTGAGTAATAACACAATGACACAGTAAGTTTTTTGTTCGTTTTTCACTGTAACCTGCTGTGTTACGACAGCTATTTGCTAGACAACAATGAAGTATTGTTTCACACATTAGCATAAATAAGCTTGAAAATTAGTAGGTAAAAAGTAAATGTCTTATACTTAAACCCTTCAAACAAGTAAACCGTATTAAAAGTAAATCAATCTTTATTCAAATCAAACGATGAATCAATCCGTATATAAATAATAACGTATATTTTTGTTATAAAAAGTTATTAATTGAATATTTTTTTAAGACAGTTTTTTACAGATGAAAGATTCAATATAATAACAAACAAATAGTAACAAAAATGACGGTTCTTTGATAAAAAAAAATAAAATGTTTTACTGTATTCAGAGCAGATAGAACCGGTCGGTCAAGACAATGTAATAGGCCAGCTGGTATCAACCGCCAGTTCTATTTGAGTTGACTATTGTCATTTCAACGTCAACTATGACTGCAAAGCTGACTATGGTATAGTTAAGCAACGCTCTAAGAGTCCATAAATAAGCAACCGTTTGTGATTTGTAAGTATATTTTACGATTGATAATACTTTTTGAAAGTATTCCCTTGATAAGTACTGATGTTCCTAGGAAATAGCTCGTTAAACGTAATAAAAACCAGAGGGACCTTGATCTTTTCTTTCGAAATAAGTAAAAATTGTTATTTTGAAGTAAGATACCAATGAAGTAGTTTTTTTTTTTATATTATACTTTATACCTTTGCATTTAATAAAAGAACTAGGTTAGCAGAATAACTTCCAAAATATTATATAATATTTGTTTATTAATTTTTTTTTTATTCATTTATATTTAAAAAACTTTTCATTCAAAGTAAGGTATACGGGTTTCAGGTTTTGGAATTTAGCTCCTAATATTGATCAAGCTAATATTAATCTGCAGGAAAATTAGAATAATGGTTATAATGAAGATTTGTGTCTTAGGTTCATAAAGTATTTGGTTATTTAAATAATTATAGAGTATTTCCGTTTCCACAGTGGCAAAGGATTGTCCTACGTTGGTCAATAATATCACAGCAATTAGGGGAACGAAGAACTTAACGCTTCAGTGAATGTTTAAATATCTAATTCAGACGTCTTTGCTGTATGTAATTAATTAACTAAAAAATTAATACTCAGAAAATAAAAAAGCCAAATCCAGCTTTCAATGAAAGTTAACAATTATATTTTAAAATATAAAGCAATATAATTAACTTAACTCGCAGTGACCAATATTTTTTTGAAAATCAATTGAATAATTTATATATGTTTTATAGGGAAGTATTTTACATTTTGATCACTATTACTCCATGGTAAATATCCGTAACCACCTTGTGATTGTATTTGTAAAACTGTGTTATAATAATACGATACTGAAATGAACTAACACCATACAAAACACTAATTACAAATTAAACCTTGTGATGCCTTGGGTAAAATGATTAGTCTGAATCACGTAACAAGGCTTTGTAAGTACGTGCCTCAACTGAGAATGCGCATGTTACAATATTGTACCTTTTGGTGATCGCTTACGACACATGTAACATTGTAAAATATATGTATAGGGAGCTTTTTAAAATAAGCATAGTTATTGAACTACCTCATGTTGTAGGCTTTAAATAGCTGATTTTGACAAATAAATATTTTTGTTCAATGTGGGGTGCAGGTTGGTAAAGTCAAATAAAATTACACCTGTTTCACATACGAAAGTAATTTTTGTTTAGTAAATACTAGTTTGATATTATCTGTGGTTTAACTCTGCATTAAAATAATACTCCTAAAAACGAACAAAGGTGCTTGTTCGTGATTTTTGTATGGTCAGAGAGCTAAGATTTTGTGCTAATTTAATGATAGTACAACTAGAAAATTTTGTTCGTATCTCTAGTTAATTGTCATGTGTTCCAGCCAAATAT